TAAAATACTCTCTTATTTGCTGTATCTTTCTGCCATTTTGAGACACAAAAAAAGTGCCTTAAAAAATTGAATTTGTTTGTCCATGTGTATAAGGCTTTATAGCATTTACTGAAGGGTTACATTTCTTTAGCTTTTAAACAGTCAGGAGCCGTGACCCAAGTCCTCACAATAATAAATCAATTGCTGCTCTGCTGCATGGGTGGAGCAGCAGCTGACAGAAACTAGTGGGAGATGGGGTGGGCTGCCTCTGAGCTACACTGAGCTCACAGACAAAATGCTGAGCCATTGGGGTTGATTTACTAACCTTTTAAACACACCACGAACGTGTATACACCTCTGTAGTGTGTTCCCTCCCAGCATGATCTATGGGAGGAATCGAAACACCTTTGTAGTGTGTACACACCCAGCAGGTGTGTTGTGGAAAGCCCTGCAATGAATTGCAAGGTAATGTGGTGTAAATTAGCTCTATGTTATGTTGCTTGCGTTGATGAATGCAGGAATGTAAATGCATGAGCTAACCATTTTTGTCCAAACTGTGAAGCAGCATTATATATGCATCATGTGCATGATTTTTCCATATATGGCATTAGTGGAAATATGCTTTTAGAGACTTTTTGGTTGATAAATACGTTTTGCTGTGTGAAAATCACACACACCTGGTGTGTGTGTGTGTTTAGGTTAGTAAATCACCCCCATTGAATCAGAACCTCAAAAACAGTGTTTTTCACTGACTACTAAAATCATAAAGGGACTTTTAAGAACATGTCATTTTGTCTCTATTTTTACTGACTATCCATAAAAATGCAGACAGTTGGCAACCCTGCCTCTAGGTGTCAGACCTTTGTGGCACAGACATTGTTTATAGCTTTCCTTCCAACTCAGCTGTTCACATTACATTACATTGAATGTGCTAGCCAGCTGCATAAATGTAATTGGGCTTACTCTAAGATTTCTTTATGTGCTGAAGAAGTCTATGCAGCTAACTAGCACATGTGCTGTACCCTGACCAGCCAGCTAGGAAGAAAAGATGTAAATAAAGCTTGAACATCATGCAGATCTTCCACCCGGAACAATGAAACATCAGATCTGGTATCTGTACTTTTCATGTGGTAACGAGGGACCTCTGAGGGAAACAATGTATAATTTCAGTTCCACTTTAACTTATATGATTGTACAAAGTAATTGTGGACATTTATAAAAAATAGATTTGAAAGCATTACATTTCTGTTCTTTTCTAAAAATCAGACCTTTTTCGAATTGCTTATATTGTGAATAACATGAAGGGTGTAGCTGTGCATCATAATTGTTATACATTTAAGAGCCTGTATATGTTTTATAGTTGTTCCCCTAAAGCAAAGTAAGTTAAAAGACAGCCAGTTACTATTAGGACCAATATTGGATTCTAGATAAACACAGGAGCATAATTTTACATGTTTTGTCTGACCTGTTGATTAATTATGCAGTAATATTACCTGTATGTGCAAGGTCTTGCAATAGGTTAGAATGTGCACACAGCCTTATGCTGGCAGAAACAATAGAGATTGGCAAAAAAAAACTTCAAGCTCATTCAGTCAACTATCTTTCCCAGAAAAGACTAACATAGATCGGGAATATTTGGTACCCATAGACATAATAATTGCACCCAGTTAAGTTGAAATCGATCAAGTCTATGAATACCTTTACTTTCATAATCTGAATCTAAATTTTACAAAATAATTCACCAATACAAAGTATCACTACTATAATTTCTTCCAATGTATATGTAAGTGTATTTAGAATAATTCATTATGCTGTTTTCCTGCATACAATATGCAATTAGGAATACCCAATACTATTATGGTATCCAAATAGTATAATTAAAAATTAAATATATTTAAAAATGTTTTTACACATATACATATATGGAAACATGTATTTAAAATATGTACTTTGTAATCTAATGAATATTGGGGCCTGTAAAGAAGAGTTTCAAAAGAGGGGTTTTGATACCATCACCCAAGAACCACAGTCTGATGATTGGGAGCATAAGGGCTTGTTCACGTTTCAGGTTTTGGATAACTGCTAAGCAGTTGTGAGCACTGCTAAGCGCCGTGCAAATGAAGGATCTAAAATTGTGTAGTTAGCCAAACGACTTACATTGCAAACAGCTACATCTCTAGCTTATCAGTGGAGAAATAATAGCCATTGGAAATAGTTTTCTAACCTGTCTGATCACTGTCTCTTCTCATGCTGTCTGCAAGCATCCCATAGACATGAGACCATTATCTCATGCTAAAAGGTACCTTTAACTGTATTGAGTCTTTTCCTACATTTGAACATTTTAATAAAAAGCAATCCATATTGTACAGAGTATTCAAATTATTGTCTCCATATTATAGCAAATGTAGCCCAAAAACTAGACCATAAATCTATTTTTCAAATTCTATAAATAATTTTTAGATTTAAATAAGCAGCATTTTTCACAGTTTAACAGTTACAAAAAGTTTTTGTATTGTGGCTACATATTACAAAAATTTACATATTGGTAGGCAATACTTAACTCGTGTAGCCCATTTAGGATCCCATTTTGGAAATGTGATATAAGTAATCTTCATATAAACAACTGTTTTTGTTGGAATTAATCTGACTTGCCCTTATTATTGCAGTTATATTATTTAGTAATTGTGCTGTAAAAGAAACCAACAGATGTTTTTACAAAATGTGTTTATAAGTATATCAACAAAATAAATAGACAGTCAAAGTGCATAGAATGATATGTTAATCTACATTAAGTCTAAAACACTTCTGAAAAACCTTGTTCAGTGTCTTCTGCTTAGCTCCTTCTGCACATCTTCTATTATCATTACTTTCTACATGTCATTCTCCTTCTTTTTCAACTAGTAACATTCAAATGAACATATCTTGTTGTTGTGATATATATATGTGTTACAGCATTATGCCCTATTGCTAACCTAGTAATGAACATTTGCTGTCTTTTGCAAACCCTAGATTTCAATAACAATTCAGATTTGATACTGATTTATTAGAGAACATAAAAAGCATACATGAGTATAAATAAGGGTCTTTAAAATATACTGGGCAGGAACAGCCATGTTTATATGTTTCAGGGAAATAGAGTTTTCTTCTGTTCCAATATGTGAGATCTCTTGGGTCTTTCCCACATTCTTTATGGGAAGCATCGCCATAAAAATAAATAATCCATTTAAACCGATTCCATGCTGCTTTTTATCTAAAAATAAATAGATACGAGCTGCGGGATTTGACCTCATATGTTAGCTAACTAGATGCGTTGTGTGGTGTTTTGTCTCTATTTGCAAATTCATTATAAAACTAGGCACAATGCAAGCACAGGCGGTGATTTTACAATAAAGTTAAAGTGGAACAAAAATCCCATACTGCAGAGATTTCACAGGAATTACTGCATAATGAGATGCCCTTGCATGGTCTTACCATGATATTATCCAAGAGGGAAAAAGGCTTAAGGAACATTCAAGCTCAACTGTGTACTCTTGGAAGTATGTCAATGTTTACATGAAATCATTCAGCATTTTATGACGATTTTATGATGTATAACTTAATTTACCACATATTGACTAGTTTCAAGTGGCCAGAAAGTGGGTATTATAAATATAAGCATTAAGCATTTAAAATAAACGCTATTAACCATTTATTATGTTTTACTTGCAATAACATATTTTTATGTTTCATGATGGGATAGACATTGTATGTATTTTGTTACAGTTGGTTAAAGCTGAACTCTAGGCAGATTTAAAGGACACAAATTAATGCACCTGTGTAAACATGTACATCAGTAAACATATTTTTTAAATACAAGCCTTGTAAGTACCCGAATTTGAACTTTTAGTCACTGTACAGCACAGCTAGAGTGTGAGAGGAACAATTAGCACAGAGAATCAATCAGAGAGAACCAATCTTGTGCAGACAAGAAGCATGCTGATAGTAAGAGAAAGCAAAGTAAAAGAGAGATGAGCACATCACTGTGCTGCTTCTCTATTCTCTGTTTAGTCATAGACAGGGACAGGTCCAGGATGACATGGGCTCAGAAGAAGGGGTTGAATGAGGCTGGCCAGCATACTAAGGACATCTAGTGGCAGAAAAAAGTACTGCTCCTGAACACTTTCGAAATCTCTAGACTGAAGATGAATATTCCAAAAAATCAAGTTTTGTTATTTTTTTTCTTTATTGGGCTATCTTGTTATTTTTTAACCTTCTTTCATATAATGGAAGATTTTATAAAAACATGTTTTGAGCAAGCCCCCATTTATACATTTTTAAAATATATATATATTATACAATATATTGACATTTTAAATCATGTACTGAATCCTATTTTTGGTGTTATTTATAGGAAAGTGACTTACAGTAAGCAAAATGAATGGGTTATTGGAACTACTACCTGCACTAAGTAGAGTATCATCATTTCAATGTACAAAACATACAATTTGATTGGATGATATCAAACACACATAGTGACATCAGCCCCAAATTTAGCCATAGTAAATTGTAACCTGGTTTAATGTTGGATTAAAGCTCACAGGAATGGTGAATCAGTGCAGCATTTTATAAAAGATAGTATGCTGTAAGCACTTTGAGTAACAAATGTTTATCATGTTGCAGTTTGTGCTAAGCCACTTTCATAAATTTCACATAGGAGCATGTTATATATTTACAATGACACGGTAAACATGATTTGCCACATTTGATCAAAGAAGAGTCTCATGAGCGATACAAGAAACTGAATTGGTTAACTGCTCTTCTTTTGGTAGCCAGAACACTGTGTGATGCCAATAATCTTTAGGCTACACATATAAACAAACTAATAAAACCAAACTGTAGCAATTGAGAATCAACTTGTATAATGAAAAAGATGGTTGAAGGAAATAAATATTTGCTTTGTCCAATATGACAATTCGGTTTACTCCACACTTTCATCTTGAGTTTTTAGAGTAAATTCATGTGTATTGTACAATCCCCATAATAGTTGTAAGTGCTCGTGTTCTCATTGCATTTTGTCAGTGACGATCATAGGCAGTGGCGGCAGCAGGGGGCGCTGCTCCTCTTGCTGCACTGTAATAGTATGGAGAACCTGGAAAAAGATTGCAGAAGTAAAATTAGGGTACAATTTAAAAAAATTACACAAACTATATACCTGAAAATAATAACATGGTATATTGATAAGTAAATGCATAAAATATATATCCATTTCTTTTTTCCCATAATTTAAACTAAACTCCCTTGTTTTGGTAATGGAAAGAACCACTCTATCAAGAAAAGCATGAAAAAGTAATATTTGTTGACATACGGGCCCCACTTCTATCACATGACATTTTTGTGGGTTTTATCTAACAAATATATAAACAATTCTTTCATTTGCTCTGAAATACAGGCCAGTACGCACTGTGAAATATTTTAAACAGTTGTGGGGCTTTTCTTAATTAAGTGTAGCAATGAGTCATTGGATAATAGGTTGTAGAGTAGGAGTAGGGATTTTTTACATTGCAGACAGTATATTTTAAAGAACCTGCATTTCCTTTAATTATTTGCAAGAACAATCCTGTGTCTTAATTTTTCATTTCAGATAGTTTGGTATTTAAAAATGAACATGGCTTAACCTTGTGAAGGAGCAAATCATTTTGCTAACTCTCTTCTCTACTACTGTTGTGCTTACTATGCCTAATGTCAAGCCCAAACCCTTCTTTGACAGTAAATTACAAGTCTTGTTTTAGAGTGTGTCACTATCTAAAAGTAGCTCCCTGTCAAAGGGTATTATTCATATAGGGATTATGTATGCATGTGATGAACAAATGTATATATAGAAAATCAATCATCACTTGTGTTCATCACATGCATACATAATCCCTATATGAATATGTGCCTTTTGAATCAGAATCCTGAGGAAAGTGAGGAAGGTTTTACCCAGACTGTACCTTTGTGGCAGACTATGCCCTCTGTGTCAAAGAACATTTTTAGCTGAAAGTGAACTCTACTTTCAAACATTTCTTAAAAATATTGATGTGATATATACAACTGTTACACATTTTGTAACTTAATGGCATTAAACATGATCTTTCTTTTTCATCTGCAGTCAACTATGATTTTCTAAAGTTGCCTATATTATATAAGTTTCTTTTACTTGCAATTATGGCAACACTACTCAGTCAATACTTTCAAGATAGTCTATTGCCTGCTGACATACTTTTCCCAGATGTCTTTTCCCAGATGTCTGCATAGAATTTGTGGTCAAATGAAGGGATTTTCATCTTTAATAAGATATTTTTAGCCTGCACATGCTTTCATGTATGCTGGTGCTTCAGCTTTTCTTGGCACATTAGCCTTACCCATGCAGGGCAAAGTAGCAGTGTCTCTGCAAAGCAGCTTCCAACCCCTTATACTCACCTTGCCTGGTCTTTTCATCATTTCTTCCGTCACAGCCAGTGACAGTGCTTTGGGGCATGGTGGAGCATGTGACGTGCTCCCCTGTGATAGTGTTTTAACCTAGCAGCCAATCACTAGGCCTGAGCATTGTCACTTGACCAAGGAAGTGGACGGCTCTCGAGGTCACCATCACCAGCAATGCTGGCCCTGAAGGAGGAAGGGATGGCAAGGGAGTGCATACAACAGTATAAGAGGTCAGGGGCCCTTTTGCAGAGATACTGTCACATTGCCCTGCATAAGCAAGTTATAAATGTCCCTTTAAACAGTATCATGTTTTTAGTGAAACGTAAAACACTAATTCAAATTCAAAAAGGAAAATCTCAAATACTACTTGCACTTGTGATTCAATAAGAGTAAATAATCTCTAGAAAATATTTACTTTCCTTTATAAATATCTTTGAAAGTACATACCAAAGAATGCTAGCTACAATATGCCCATAAGAGACTTAAAAAAAACATATCAGTAGTTTATAGATATTCTAACTTGCCTTTAATTACAACATAAAAATTATTTCATTTTTCCATCTTGGACCACTTAGGCATTTATGATTTTAAACACAGGTATCAAAGTGTAAAATGTACACTAGGTCAAAGACATAGTCCTTTTCAAAATTCCATTAGAAAATCCAGTAGCGAAAGGTTAAACATTCAGGTTTTAACATGAAATCCTTTTCTTCTACAAATCATCTGCATAGCACAAGGTAGTGTCACAAAAGCAGCCTAATACTACTTAGTGACTATAATATACAAAATAGCTCATTTTAATGTCAGTAAAGAATTGTAAGCTGGGCTAAGTTGAACAAGAAAGGGTCAGTGTGATTTTAAACTTCAAAAATATGATACTGTAGGAATCTTCTGTGGATCACAGAACACATATGCCACCATCCCTAGAACTATAATGTGATGCTAGCTATAGTAGATATATTTTATAGAAGAGTAACTGTATTACCCTTTTTAGCTACACACTTCCCTGCTCACAAAGCTGTAGAAACAGCATCATTTGAAAATATTTACATATTTTATGTAGCAAGACAATTACTTTGAACACTGGTACTACCTCCATAACTATAATTCAACCTTAGAATACAGGTATTGATACTGAATACATATCTATAATGTGATGTAGATATAATGTATATACAATGTGATGATTGTTTCAAGATTTTTACAGATCAGCTCATAAAATTACATTCCTAAGGCCCCTTTCACACAGCCATCTTCATACATGAATCCCCTGCTGATCAGAATGGATGTCACCGTTGTAACATCCACATCTGTCCAGTCTGTCCAGACCCATGTTGGTCTATGGGAAATCGGATGTAAACGTAGGCACATCCATTTAGATCTGGCTGCCCATAGACTGACATTGGGCATATAATCAGCCTGAAAAACTCACAGGTAGACATGTAAGTTGGCATAGAATTCGTTTCGGTACGTTTCGCTTAGGATTTATGGATTCGGGTCAGAAAGTCAATTCATTTCGGTATTCGGATTCGGACGAATCTGAATTTTCATTTATTTTGGAGGAGTTAAACGATATTTACGAATGAAGATTAGTTGCAGAATAGTGACATAAAATGTTTACTTTTTTCTTTTTAACTTTTGACAGTGAATAAAAGTTCCCCCCAAATTATATCAGACCACATGCTTTGCCAGGGGGTCCATGTCGATGAGGGCAAGGGCCTTTGCGGGCAGGGGGGCTTATTTGGATCTGGGTGCCTCCTTTCATACAAGGGGCACCCAGATCCTGCCCCCTGCCTCGTGAATAAGTAAGAGGTAGTTGTTACCCCTAATCATTCACCAAATACAGTAAATTAGTAAATAAACACACCACACTGTCACGTCTCTTTGTTTACATTCAGGAGAAGAGCTGTTATTTTGCGGCTGGTGTTCCTCGGGATTGGATGTGTTGGATTAAAGACTTGTCAAAATCTGCATTGGGCTTTTGTTTTCAAAAAGGCCTATTTTCTAATATGGGGTGTGTTTATTTACTATTTTATTTTACTGTATTTGGTGAATGAGTAGGTGTAACAACTACTCCTCACTCATTCACAAGGGGGGTGGGATCTGGGTGCCCCCTTTATGAAGAGGGCACCCAGATTCACATTAGCCCCCCTGCCCACAGACCCCTACAACCAGGCCCCAAGGGTTGTGGGGAAGAGGGCATGTGGCATGGTATGGTGCAGGAGGGGGGTGCACCCTCGCCCCCACCTTTCCTGCTCTGACAGACTGCTGCTTGGATCAAGGGCCTGGTAAGGGATTTAATGGGGGACCACACACTTTCTTCTTTTTTTTTTGGTGTTGGGGTCCCCCCCTAAAATTCCTACCAGACTTAAAGTGTCTAGTATGAATTGGGGAGGGGACGCTGTTCGTTTTTTAAAAATGTCTAACAACATAAGTTAATTCTGAATGAAATTTGTAAAAGATTTTTGGATGCATTAATATTTTCGTTATCAAAAATTCAGATACATTGAGATTTGTTATTTCGCTCATTCGGAAATTCGGATGCAGCTGAATGTCCCAACATGTCTACTCATAAGTGGACCTGATGGGAATGCACGTGTGAATGGGGCATTATGATAGTAATATTATAGGCAATATTGTGATTTCTGTCCTTTCCCTGTTTGTCTCAGCATTACATCATGTCTCTAAGTTTGTCAGATTTGCAATTTATGCACTGCTTCTATCTTGCATTGTCAATGCTTTATTACTTTGTTAAAATAATATAAAAAAATAAATGTATATATAAAAAAAAAACTAATCTTAGGTGTAAAAGAAAACATGTTCATTCCCCTTGCACAGCATTAGTTGGATATACCCAAGTCTTCTAATAATAAGATGTAATTTGGCATTGTTAGATAGAGGAATAAGTAAAAGTAACAGGGTCCTGCTATGTGATGGAAAGATAAATGTTGCTCCACTATGTGAATAATATAATGAGAGCACAGCTAGAAAATTAAACACCCTCTACACCGTTGTAGTTTTGCACTAGCTGAAGCCAGGATAAACCTGTCTCCCATTAAAACCAGTGTTTCTTTCCATGAAACTACTTGTTTTCTGAAATCTATGTACTAGAAATACCTCATGGTTTCTGCCAGTAGTGTTTAAATTAAACTACATGCCCAATTCACATTTACTGCAAAAAAAACAACACATATCAAATGAAATTCTTTATGACGAACATCAAGATGGGAAGTAATGAAGGGAATAGTAAAGAAGTTCTAGAACAAAGCAGCATGAAATTGAATCATTTTTCTTCATTAGCCAGCACTTGCCATTATCTAGGTTCAGCATGTGTGTGTTAACCAGCCTCAAAAATGCCCTACAGTCCACGTAATTTCTTCCTTTCAGATTACTACAAATGTACCTGTAAGTTGCTTACTTCTTGCATGAACACTACTTTAAATCAACACAATCACACTTCAGCAGTTAAAATCCTGATAACATCTCTAACGCTGGAAAGAATTCTACTCTCTTTTATTAATGAGAGTATTCATTTACCTTACCATCCTGTCTTGAATTGTATTGTAATTGTAATGTCTTCCTTACATTGTAAAGCGCTGCGCAAACTGTTGGCACTATATAAATACTATGTAATAATAATAATAATAATGAATGTACTTTGCAAAATCTAAATACAATATCCACAGAAAAATAAGAATTCTGACATCATGGGGGTGATTTACTAACCTAAACACACGCACGCACCAGGTGCGTGTGATTTTCACACAGCAAAACGTATTTATCAACCAAAAAGTCTCTAAAAGCATATTTCCACTAATGCCATATATGGAAAAATCATGCACATGATGCATATATAATGCTGCTTCACAGTTTAGACAAAAATGGTTAGCTCATGCATTTACATTCCTGCATTCATCAACGCAAGCAACACAACATAGAGCTAATTTACACAACATCACCTTGCAATTCATGCTTGGCTTTGCACAACACACCTGCTGGGTGTGTACACACTACAAAGGTGTTTAGATTCCACCCATAGATCATGCTGGGAGGGAACACACTTCTTCTTTCACAAATATTTGTAGAAGCAGTCTGCATGCCTAGGTGCTTGATTTTATACACTTGCGGCCATGAAGGTGTTTGGAACACCTAAATCTAGTGATTTGGAGGGGTGTCCCAATACTTTTGGCTTATGGCTTTGGCTTATAAGTGACTGAAATGCCTGTAACCAAAACAATACAAAATAAATATATATATATATATATATATATAGATATATATATATAAAGAAATGTGTATCTGTGTATCTATTATTTTTTGCATAGGAGCCAGTAAAGCATTGCAACCGTAATCATTGGATCACAGGCGCAATGCTCTGGATCCTGTAGATTCTGGAAGTGTCAATGGACTACAAATGCGGTGATGTCACCTCACTAGGATTTCATTGAGAAATACAAGTCCCTCTGCCACAATAGCTGAGTGGACTTGTAGTTTCTCTAATGACAGATCCTGTCAAAGGATGGCTCCATCCGTACAGCCGTGCCAAATTCAAAAATGTAATCAGCTATATAATAGTGACAGTAGTAGTATATCTTCTCAGAGTGAGGCTGCTCCTTTACAGTCAGGGAGACTATCACATAATCTGTAAACAAAAAACAGAGAGCGCCTTTTCCTGTCACAGGATGACTCTACCTGCCAGGCTTTTGGAGGGTGAGATGAGTCCGGCAGAGACACGCTGGTTACTCCATCATCCAAGCCTCCACTGGCTAAATACATTTTTCGGGGCACGCCCTCTTCTTCAGAGTCGTCCTGTGACTCCTTTGTTCAGACTGTACCTCTCCTTTTGTGAGTAGGTTTTTACTATTTCTTTTACTCATTTACAATAAATGATAATGCACAGGAGAAGGCGCTCTCTTGGTTTTTGTTTATTTAATATTTCACCAATTAAAAAATAAAGATAAACAGTAAAACGAACAACCTACATTATAAACACACATTTTCATTGTCATTACCTTTGTCTCCTTTGTTAAATATATACATTTTAATTATAAACAGAAAATTTAACAAACAGCCACAAAATTAAGAAACAAAATTGATTTATCTAAATTAGGTCACAGAGTTTTTTTTTTCTTTAGTAAATCTTTTGAATCTCCTAGGCAATAACAATGTAGTTGAGTGGTGACAATTAATTGGAATTTCTACTTATCTCATTTGTGCAAATTATGCAGAAAAAAAATCCTAATTATTTTATGCAAAGTCAAAGTGGACTAATTTTTGACAGCAATGTTAAAGGTGTTAAGCGTTTTTTTCTTTGATAAGTGTTCAGGTTGTCGCAACAATAAAAGCTCATATGGCAATAAGTATGAAAAAAGGTCAAAGGGCACTAGCTAAATTCAAATTTTTTCATATGGTATATACTGTATTTTTTTTAACACAGATATCTTCTGACCATATACATAAGAGCTTCATTAAGTTGTTTATACATTCAAATTCAGAATAAAATTAAAACTGTGTTTTGTATTATCTAGTCTACACATTATTATTAGTACAATACAGTAATTACACAGTAGAATAAACATCAGTTATTATGAAAAAGCTGAGTCCTCTATCACAGAATCCATATGATTAAGTAAAGAATCTCCAATTAGCAATATCTAATAAAAATTCAAAAATATCTACTGTGCCATTTCTCATAGATCTGCCAGTTTTTTCATGGATCTGCCAGTTGAAAAGCTATTTAAATATATTGAGATATATTCAAATATTCATTTAATGAGGAAATTAGACTCAGGGGGTATTTATTAATCAAATGGGTTTCCAGGTGGTATTTAGGTCTCTGTATTTGCCATCTGCTCTGTATGTGTGGGATTTTGTATGACATATAAAATCAAGCTATAATCTTATTGGACAGTTCTAGCGAAATATAGCTTTTGAGACATACAATTACTAAATATTAACAATTTTTTGTTAAAACATGTTTTGTTTGCTAGAAGTCTAAAAGGGCCAATGGGCAATATTTTCTGTGATAACATTTAATACAAATGTGGGAGAGCCATCACTGTTACCATTACTATTACTATTATTACTACCAAACTATTTTCCTGGCTATATCTGTAAATAAAATAAGTCAAAGCAACTGGACTTGCTGTATTTTTCTTGAAGACAATTCAGTGGTCGTCCAAACAGCTTTCTCAGCTTTGAGAAAGCTGGTTGGATGACCAGTGAAACGTCTTCAAGAAAAATACAGCAAGTCCAGTTGCCTTGACTTATTTGTTTACAGAAATGTCATGACCTGGATGAATGAGAACCTTCACAGACATATTTTCCTGGCTGTTTCTGGCTCTATTGCTTTCTGGGTCACTGGTCTGTAACAAGTATATTGCCAATCAAAGCTTCTCATCTGAATATGAACATTGGGTCTGTGATTCAGAAAGTATTGAATAATCTGATTAGCATAACATTCAGTCAACTAACATCAGAACGAAAGCTCAACAATGGTAACCTCCACATTTATCTAAGCAAGGGTTTCCTTTAAAAGACAACTAGTTGCCATGGCATATGACACTTGGCACTTAAGTCCATAGAAGTCCATATTTTTAACTTACAAATATCATACAGAAAGCAACACTTTGCAGTAGTAGTACCATACATAAGACCTAAACTGTATCAGCTTTAAGCATTTCCTTTGTAAGTTTCTAACCACTTTCCACCAGCTGTATGTATATATGTGGCAGCACAGTGGTGGGCTTTAACCCCTGGCTGCCGCATTGATGTGTTCAGCCAGCACCACTGTGTTGGGCTGGCATTGTGCTCACTCGGTGTCCCGAGCCCAGAGACCACGCTGACCTCCAATCTCAGTGATCACATGATCAGGTAGCCCTCCTCTCAGAGTTAAGAAACCCTTAAAGAGCTGGGCAGTTAAGGTGCAACTAAACCCAAAACTTAATTTTTAGATAAAGTGGGGAAAAGTTACAACCATTTTGATGTTTTTATTGCTGTCTGTGCTTCTCTATTTACCCATCTACTTGCCCTGGTGAATACTGCCAGTGGGACTGAAAGTGAGGGAAAATTAAATATTTTGAGTTTTCTCTTGAACATGAATAGGGGGAAGAGGTCAGGAATTAAAGGGAAATCTTCCCAATGGTACCTGACAAGAGTTTTAACCTTTCCTATTATATCCAAAACTAAAATAAGGGTTACTTGCTGAAAGGTGTATTTGTGCAATGTGTCAACAAAACTTATAAAATAGCATTATCTTAATGAAAGCAGAAAACATATTTTGAAACATACTATGTTTTTAGTTTTATCTGCTCTTCGATTGCCTAAGTACATAAGATTCACTTAAGATATGATGTGATCTGTCATAACATGTTTGATTTGGTAATCTGCTGGTTAAAAATGATGTATGGTTTTGAGGGAAACCCTAGCCATTGAGAGATAAAATAGCAGCTTGTGAACTTGCCAATCTTAAATGTATTTGTGTTTAACTATATTATCCTAGTTTTTGAAAGCAAACTGTTGGGTTTAGAAGAACAGCCTACATTTATATAAATCATACATGTATACTCACCTAGTAAGCCAGCGTTAGGAAATCTCCATGAATCATTATAGGAAGAATACTGTGGATGGCTATATGGACTACCAGAGAAATCACCTCCTAAAATGTAAACAAAAATACATTAATATATGTTTTAGAATTGCATAAGAAATATTCTTGTTTTAACTTGTTTATTCAAGACAAATAGGCTGTTCATTTTGCAAGGTTATTTCCCTTTAGCTTAGCTACTTTGCAAAGAATATTCAAACATGTGCAATGAAAAAAAAATAGTATTTTTGAACATGATTGGATAATGGAAGTCAGCAGAGCTTTACCTCATTCATTAAGTTAAGGGAAAATCCCCTTGCAAAGCGAAATTCCGATGCAATGTAAACAGCCAATTTGCCTTAAGTAAATCAGTCCCTTAGAGTTTAAAGATTAAATATCAACAAACAAAGCTGTAGTTACCCTAAAAGCAACTGTGAGCCAGTGGCCAGACCAGCGCCACTATAATTTTTGTTTTTATTTTTGTTCTTCTTTTCTAGATATTTGTGGTTAAATTTGGGAAGATAACTATAGTGGGAAAGAGGGACAGGGGGCATTGAGAGGAATCAGAAGACTACCTATAGTTCAAGAAACAAAAATCCAAGAAATGCCTAAAAAAATACTATTAAAGTTAAAATTATTTGTGTTCCATGTAAGCCCATAATTTTTTACTAAAGATAAAATCTGGGTTATTAAATCTGATGTAACCAAAAAAACAAAAGTGCCATTAAAATTCTTAACATTTTAAAGTGTTACTGGTCATTTATTTTCACCCTTAAAAAAAAACTGTTGTACGTGTCAATAGCGCATAATGGATGTATGCAAAGCATATGTAAGCCCAATTAAGTATTATTGTTAAAATTCAAAAAGTCACTTATACTCATTGTGTGTACAGTGCAGTGTGTGTACAGTGCAGTAAGGCAAATATAAAGTAACTGTATAGAAAAAACAAGTCTATGCTTCCACTGAAAAGTCTAGGAATGCGTACGCATAGCCTAACTATATTAAACATATAAGTAATGCACATAAATTATATGTAAGGTATATAAAAGACTCACACTGTAATATATTTTAAAAATGTGCTTTATTTTATTAATTCATTAAAAATGTTCAAACCCTAAATTAAAGGTTATAATCCACATAATACCCTAGAAATTTCTTTAAAAGCATGATTCAAAAGATAAGCTTGTGTTTTACTGTTTGATCAAGTCTTACTTCTTCCGTACCAAATTTCCCCTTACTGACTGCTTCTGCAAACACACATCTTGGGCAGTCTCCAGGGATACTCTACTGCCTGACAAGCTGAGACTTCCAATTCTTTAGTTTTTATGCCTGAGTAGTCAGACTGTCAGCCTCATGCCGTATACACTAGCCAAAGACCGGAGGAGTCATTGAGCACCATCAACTAAGTAATTCTTCTGCCTGCATACTATGTCTTTCCTCAATCCACTATATATAGTTCATGTTAAGCCAATATATTGCTGGAAGTTGTCAGTTGGGACTTACAGTATGCAGTAAAAAAAGATGTGTATTCTATTACCAGAAGTAAAACAAATACACAATGCTAGCCACAACAGCGGAAACCAAGACAGCAAGTCGCTCTCCACTTCTACAAAATATTTTCAAGGTGTAATGTGATGTTGACAGCAGTCTGGTTGAACTATGTATAATTTTACCAAAAAAATGGGTTAGTAAATATTGTGAGTAAACCTCCCTTAAAAGCATACAGCATAGTCACAAAAATAAAATAGAATACATATACATAAAATTGGGAGTTATGTTTTAAGGAGAGACATTACATAAAGCAAAATATATATTTTGACTAACTCTAGACAAATACATAGGATTTTCCCTAAACTGATGTGTAAACTTTTGAGCGACAGTTTTGTGAACCTTGTTTGAAAAAAAGTATAAATAGACCCCCTGGTGTATCTATGTAATTTGGTTTGTAAAGCATGCTTGGCTTTTTAAAAGTGACCATTACTGGATGCATGCTATGTGACTCCTTCTGCAATTCAGTATTTGAGATATTGCTGTCTGAGGAAAGGGGTATTCAGGCCTTTGTGAGACTTCATAGTGCAGATAGCTTTGGCATAGCAACAAACAGTTTTACAGGAAAATCTAACCATACAGTGTTGCTCCTGCAGAACTTCTATACTTTTGATGTTGGGTTGAATTTTTTTTGTTAAATCAGACCTATTACTAAAAACCACACTTCACATCTATTAAAAGGGCCCATGTCAGTGTTATTTTGATTTTACGTCAACAGACTTTTGGTGCAGTTGGTTGTGGGTTTGAGCTATTAAAACCAGAATCAAGTATTAATAATATACTTTGCAAAAATGTTCCACACCTGTAGCGTATGCATTAATGGTTAATTAAATAATAATAATTATTATTATTATTATTATAAGGCATATTTGTTATCTGTTAAAAATCAATGAACATTGCATGAAAGCACTTGGCAAAGCTCTACTGAGGCATATTCATGAACATTTATGTGTATTTTACTGTGCATTACTTTGCATTGGACTTTAACAGATGTAGAAAAATGTTTGCCCTTCGATGTGCATTACAACATTTAATATCCATTTCATGTGTTTCTATTGATTTCAATGTATACATGTGAACTCAAACTAACACTAGTTCTTAACTTGGACTGTACCCTCCCACCTCTGTACTTTCCTATTTGCACCTAACTATGATAAGTGGCCTTACTGACCAATAGATGTTGGAGGTGGGATGAGCAGGCAAACCATTAACATTTCTAGTAAGTGTCAGCATTTGCATAGTAGAGAGCTCTGGGATTTAAGAAGGCTGCCAGAAGTACAGGTGAAACTCGAATAATTAGAATATCGTGCAAAGTTCATTTATTTCACTAATGCAACTTAAAAGGTGAAACTAATATATGAGATAGACTCATTACATGCAAAGCAAGACAGTTCAAGCCGTGATTTGTCATAATTGTGATGATTATGGCTTACAGCTCATGAAAACCCCAAGAACCCCAAATCCACAACCTCAAAAAAGTAGATTATTACATGCAATCAATAAAACAAGGATTGTACATAGAACAATATCGGACCTCTGAAAAGTACAAGCATGCATATGTACTCAGTACTTGGTTTGGGCCCCTTTTGCAGCACTTACTGCAATTACTTTTGCACGATATTCTAATTATTCGAGTTTCACCTGTATGTGCAGTGCCGGTCTTAGGCCTTTAGGCGCCCTGTGCAAGAAAGCTTTACAGCGCCCCTCAGTGACCACACCCCTCAGTGACCACACCCCCAGTAACCACACCCATTTCCCCCAATATCCACACCATTTAAAGACTCCTATTTTGTTAAGCCGCAAACAAAAATATATTAAAAAGTATGATAGAAATAAAACTTTTATTCAAAGGTATTAAACTTGTAGGCACAATGTATGTATTCTTAACAAATAAAACAACAGAAGGCAAACAATAAATGTCAAACTAAAATATAGTCTATAAAAATAAAGTGCCAGGTTGTCATGCTGATCCCTTTTTTCAAGTAAGTATATCTAGAAAAGTAAAAATAAAAAACAGAACACAAAACCCAGACTACGTGTAAATTAATGAATTACTATTTGCCCCAATATACGAAAAATTTATTCAGGCACATAATACTTTTTTTGAGAATGTGCGGCAGCCATGTTGGCCCCAGTGTGTTCTGTGAATGCGTGCCACCATCTTGGAGGCTGGGAGCATGACGTTACATGACGCCATGCATGCGTGGCGTCAGGTGAAGTCACACGCCGATATAGGCGCCGCCATCTTGGTGTATACCCAACACGTGCAGTGTTATATGACGTTATGCACCCTGCATCCAGAACACGCTGTGGCTGAATCCAAAATAGCATAAAAATGTTGTTTTGTTTGATGAAACGAATGAAAACGTTTTTAGTTTTCGTTCATTTCATGTGAAATTAATTTTTAATCTTCGCACATGTCTAATAATATGTGTGTGGGGGGGCGGCAGTTGTGACTTTTGCAAAATAATTTTTTTTATTATTTTTTTTAATCATTTTTTATTTTTTATATTTTTAATATTTTTGGACTGTTGGGGGGGGCTATGGGGAAAATCAGCGCTCCCTCCTGCGCCCCCCGAGGGTGGGGGTGAACGAGGAAGCGCTGTCATATCGGATGGCCAGCGGTGAGGAGGAGAGAAGCCGCCCCGAGGACGAGCTGTGTCGGCCGCCTGGTGCCTCTGTTGCCATGGCGCCCAGTGCGGCCGCACAGCTCGCACACCCCTAAGGCCGGCCCTGAGTATGTGCAGGAACTTTTAGGTGCCTGTATTTTAGCCCTTGGTCCAATAAAGAGAGATTATACTACTGACAGAGTACCCTAAATTTTAATTCTGACGCCTTACTATCTAACCCCCAACTGCAAAACTAATACTAACCTAACTCCCAACAATAATTATGGCCTAAAACCACATGGTAGCCTTAACTAACAGTCTTGTGCCAATTTCTAACAGTACTTAAGTCTGAGAACTGACAGATATTGATCTGCATGTCATGTCATCTGCATGACCAATATCATACCCATCACATAGTAAAGTAATGAATCTTGCCGCACTAACCCATTCCTTTCGGCGGCACTGTCATCCACTATTTCTCTTTTTGGGTCCTTGGTTAGCCAGCTTTGTAGGAGACTGTATATCATTGCCAGTTCTTCACCATGAAAAAGGGATTAATTAACTTATAATTATGAATAATTAGGTGACTAACCTTTTTTGTCACCACAACTATTTTGCCCACAACCCCCAGTGCTGCCTGCAGTTTGATGTCCTATTGCCCCTTTTTCATTGATACACTGTAGATTTTTACTATAAGTTTTTCTTGTTGTTAGAATAGTAAAAAGTTGCCACTCATCTGCCATGGGTTGGAAAGAAAAAAAGTTAAAAAAACAAAACTGACAACGTTGAAACATCTATGTTGCCATATAAAGTTTTGCTTGTGTTATATATTAATTAGATAATATAATATATATATTTGACTGCATCTATCTGCATGTTATGAGACTCTCAGTTCCTCAATTGTGTTACTGTGAA